GTTGTTGTTGCTGCTGCTGTTGCTTTTTACGTATTCTTTACATGTTCTTTTTTGGTCGGACCGGTCTTCTTTACATGTTCCGTAAGGCGCCAACCCTACCCAAGCCTCCCCGAATCTCCCACCCACCCCACCCCACCAACCCAGCACTTTGCACGCCGTCCCCCACCAAGAATCGGATTCAAGAGCTCGATCGGGAAGGGGGACGGGGGGAGCCTCAGCTGCACCCGCTCGCGGATGCTGCTGATGCTCGTTTTTGGTGGGTTGGGTCAGGGCGCGAATGAAAAAAAAAAACGGTATTTATGAGGGATTCCTCACGTTGTCTCGCGCTCTAAACGGACCATACACGACTCGGGACCCGCCCCGGGTCAGCTCATGCTCGCAGCATTGGGGCACCATGACGCAGCCGGAACTCCGGGAATCGTGCCCCCACGCCCCTTGTTGCAAGCTAAAGCTCGATAAGAAACTCAAGCTAGACCCACGGGCCAGCTTTCGTGATACGCAGCAGGGCATTTAAGTCACATCGGTTTCCGGCTGAAGCACGCCAGCCCTGCTTTACTCTATGATGGGTCACATCAAACACATGCCACCTTGCGGACTACTGCCTTGGATCTAGAGATCCGCAAGCTCGTTTTGCTTTGAAGCCCGAAGCTCTGCAGTGATTACATTGTTTGTGGTGAATCAATTTTCAGGGTTGGTTGCCGACTGCCTCTCGGAAACTTTGGAGTTGGGAGGATGGAAATTGTTCGGGTTCCGGGCCTGAGCGCTGAGGGTCCCAGGGACAGGGGATGGAGCAACATGTCAAATTTCCTTCGATTTACACAGAATTGCTTCCCTTGTGCGACTTGCGATTCCTGATCACATGCAATACAAGCTTCAGTGGAGAGGCTCCTGGACTTCAGCCACTACCAAACCCTGGAGCAAACCCTGGAATTCTGCAATCTTTTAAGGCCTGCACCTCGCACTTCAGGTCTACGGGAGGAGGACTTCCAGGCACTGACATGGAGCTACAGGGTCATGCCTTGAGGATGTGGCGATTGCTTGTCACCAAGCACATTCGGCCCGTTTCCACAGCCTGCCACAGAAATTTGCGAAAGTTGCTGAAATCGATGTGGGTTTCCATTTGGATGAGCTCAAACCTCTCGTCTCCATCTTGGATTAACCATGGATGCCAAATGAGCTGGTTGAGCTGTGGCCGCACGAATGGGTGCAGCGCTTGGTCATTTTCCACGAAAACTTTGAGCGCTTTCCGTGCACTGCGGCGGAGAGCGGCATCGTTCGGGGGATTGCAAGCATCCAGGAGACCTCGAGCACAAGCCTTGTTGAACCTTCCGAGTAAGTCGGGGCCGCACCTAGCGAGTTCACAGCAAATTTCCATGCGGATGTTGGCGTCCCCGTGTTGTAGCCAGTATATAATGTCTCTGGCAAAGAGGTGTCGCACTCCCTTCACCCCGGCACCCTGGCCGCGGATCGCGAAAAGGCATCCAGCACAAACAGCCAAAATCCGCTGGGAGCTCTTTGCGATGTCTGGCTGCTCGTGGAAGCAATGCGATCTCATGCTCTTGGCCACCGGCACCATTGCTGCAGGCTGCAGCTTCCGCCACCTGGTCATGGCCCTGAAGAAGATCCAAAGGCCTGCACGGAACAGCTCCCTGCTCTCTAACTTGCCAAAAAATAGCTCACCCCCACGCCTGCTTTGCCTGCCCGTAGCCGTGGGCCTTCCTCGAGACTCTCCCAAAACTGCTCGCTGCAGTTTGAGTTGCACCATTTGCCGGTGGCAGCAAACACGTCTGGCCTCACACCGAAGCGAGATGAAATCACTCTCCCGCACATTCCTGAACTTCATCTGCTGTGGCGTTGAGGAGGGAAAAAATGAGCATTCTCCCTGCCTCTCAGGCTGCATCAGGTACACCAGGTGCGAAAGCAGCGCCTAAGGCCAGGTTCGGACCCATCCTTTTTCAAGTCGATCAACTTGCGAAAGGCAGATTCACCAGCGGCCTGGGATTCTAACTACAAGCGCCTGATTGACGACGCCATCTACTGCTTGTCAAGGCAACATGCAAGACAGTTTCAGCAGCTACTTGCTTCTTTTCAGGCGAATATTCAGTTGGACCAGAACGAAGTATATGAAACCAAAGCTATGTTGTTGAATTTGGAAAGCATCTTCCAGTACGTACCGCCGAGCAGTGCACATCCGCCATGCATGTTCAAGTCCTTTGTGCAAGGTGAGCTGCAGCGCATTTCAGAGCTAAGGCGCAAAGGCTTTTCCTCACTCAAAGATTTTCCGAAAGAGGTTACCCAAGACACTGGATTAACGCTCAGCTTCGCAAGCACACCCTGAAGAATGCGCCGGTCACCGGACCATTTCTGTGCAAATTGCATGGTGTAACCAACCCAGTGTTTGCGGTCTCCTTTATTCCCATAATTGGAGACGTTGATCCAGATGGGTGTTGGAGGGAGGGATCTGGATTCTGCAAAAATCACTACGTGGCAAGATGCTGCAGTGCGCTTGCAAAAGCATGTGAATGAGTCCGATTCACGGACAAAACTGATCGCGAAGTAGCCCAACTTGCGGATAGGCTTGGGTAACCCGGTAATCTGCACTTTTTGTTGGGGGGGGGTAGTCTGCGCCGTTTTCCTGGTAATCGGTGTCTTTTTTGTGGGGTTTTGCACAATGGGTTAATTTGTTTTCATCTCTGGTAACCTGCATCTTATTTGGATCATCTGCGTCTGTTTTTTTGTGCTCTTCGAACAAGAGCCAGAGCAGGGTGTTGCTGCCTGGACAGACATTTTGACACCCCGACACATCTGCTGAACCCTTGGATCCATAGTTTCCTGGCAAAAAGAATACCATATTTGCAAAATCCCGTCAGTTAAGGGGGGTA